GTTTGGTTACCAACGTTCTTCAAAATATCTTCTTTTGTGTTCAACGGAAGAAAGAAACTCATACAGGTTTGGATCAGCTTGAGGGTGAGTCAAAGATGACAGAATTTACATTTTTGGGTGAACTATACTTTAAGACTGGGGTTTTCAACTGAAACCCCAGGGGGCTGCAAGGGAGCGTTTAGAGAAAAACAGTGTTTGTGTTTTATATTTTTATTTACTTCCCCCAATTATTCATTACCATTAAAAAGTTACTGTATCACAGTAATAAGAATCACCACTGAGAATAATAGGAATAATAATGTTTAAGTAAAAAAAATAAATAAATAGAAACACAGAAAATGGGTTTGAAAATATAAAACTAGTTCTTGGGGTGACAGATGACCTGGTGTTGCTTACAAATCTCGTTTACGCTGTAGTTTATTAGTGCGCACATTCATTTGCCGAGTGTGGTGTTGAAGTAGGAAGTGATGCTGTTGAGATGCTAACTGCAGTTAGCACACTAGCATCAGCCATGTGGCCGGATCGGAGCCAAACTGTCTAGATTCTCCATCTTCACTACTGGACACACAAACAGGCACTACGAAAAGATATATTTTCGTTTAGATCTCGACTGACGGGTGATTAGTATTTGTGGCTAAACGTCCGAAGCGCTCAGAGTTTGTAGCAGCAGATAAGACAAAAGAAGCGTCCATCATCCAAACACCATGGCGGACATTTTATATGTGGGGTCGCGAGAGAGAGGCAGACGATCCTTATCTATACGATTGTTACGAAATCTGTACTATAAATCGCCTGCTGGCTGATGAGATCTTCAGGAGACGGCGTTGATGGTGTTAATAAGGACACGTATGCGCGACGCGTCAAACGCCCCGCTCGAACAAAGGGAGAGAGGGTTTGGTCTGGCTTATATTCGCTTTCCCCAAGAAACCAGCCTTCGCAATAATCGATTCTGATTCAGACCGACGCGGTCCTCACTGAACCGGACAGTTGGACTCGTGTAATGATACGGTGTACGTGTTAAAGTCGAATGGCTAATCTGGGTCATCATATCACGATCAAGGCCCAAGCTCAAGGGTCTGTTTCATGGACCGTAAACATCGACGGCCTAAACAGTCAACAAATACATATACTGATATAATATAGTAGTCGTATCGGGGGTTTGTGGGGCAGTAAATAACGCTAGCGGCTCTACAGAGCGAGAAGCGCGTTGGGACTCGTGTTGCCTGAAGCAGGCCTCGGACTCGAGCACGCGTCATGGCGGCTTTCAATTCGCACGCGGATGTGATGGAACGCGGCACGCGAGCGAACATTTAAACCGACGGAGACCGTTTAACGTCTAAAGTTTAACGTACATGAGTCCTTAAATGTATGAAGTAAAGCAAGTCCATAACAAAAACACTGGCCAGGTAGCCACAGGAATACAGTAGTAATATTAAATTGGTGGCTGAATAACGACACCACACAGTCGCAGTGAGGCCACACGCTTTCCCTAACGGAAAAATCCTTTAAGACCTCATACAAATTTAACAGAAACGTTAAAGCACCGACGTATTACAGAAATATATTCTTTTGAATGAACGAGTCCGCAGCCCGAGAGGACTGAGGTTTCGCGGACAGGCTTACCGATGACCTTCTTATCCTCCGCGGTAGCTGCGGCTGTCGGGCTGGATGGGCTCTCCGTGTCGGCGGCAGGCTGCGGCGGCTGCTGCTGTGTTTCGGCCTCGCTGCTCATGTTGTTTTCTTGTTGGTAAAGCCGGCGGTGGCTCTCTAGTGTGTTTTCCCGGTTCTAGATGGTAACCTGGGCCGGCGGTGGTGGGGGCTGCTGCCTTCGGGCTCTCCGCTTTCCTTTCTCCGCTTCCGTTGCCGATCGAACTGGACGGACTGAGTGAAGATGCCGGACGATATTCTGTCACATCTCTCCACCCATCCCTCAATCCAATTGGTCGGATAAGTCAACGTCAATTATTTTACTGACGCTCATTGGTTATATTTACTGTCAATCATATGGAAATATCATTACGTCTGGTCACGATTGGTTACATAAAGAATTAGCACGGCCCAGAATTCAAGACCCCATTTAACCTTGCCGACATACTGGCAGATATATAACCCAAACATATACAACCCATATAACCAAAAAAATTGACCAGAACGTAAAAATAATGCATATTTCACATAGTTCTGAATCATTTATTATGAGCTTTTAAAAAGTGAATATATAAATATGTAAATATATATATATATATATATATATATATTCGTTCAGTGGGACTTTAAGGTTTGTGTCTTCACATAAATGAACTTTTACCCCACCCTACGAAATATTGGAGGGAGCAAAAAGTGTGACAACTAGCCCCGGTCTCCTGCTTCACATTAACCGTTGTTGCCACAAGTTGGCGCACTGGCTCTGAATATGAGCGCTAGGTAGTGAGCGTCCTTTTTCATTTAAAGTTACTTATAAACATTTGGGATCTAAATATATTCTTAGTGATAGAGTAATGATTAATTGAATTCAATTCCAAAGTAAATGCAATGACCAAGTATGTTTTATTAAATGTAATATGTAAACTTCACATATTTTCTCCGTTACTTAATTAGATGAACTCTGAACTCTCCAAAGGCGCGTTTGTCCACATGAACATTCGTTCAGTGGCAGGCTTACACATTTTAAAATAAATAAAGGAAAATATTTATAAATCAGGTATGAAATATTGAGAGAACGGGCTTGGTACCTCTAGTTATATTTTGATGGTCTTATCTAGACATGCCAGTAAAGCTCCTTGAATTGAACTGAGAAAGTACATTTATTTATTTACATAGGAGTATGTGTAATTTAATCTTATTCAACACTTAGCACTATTAAAATTTTGTATAATTTTATTTATATCATATTTTATTCATCACTCAGCACGCTATTGCAATACTGTTTTATTGGTGCTTGTTGTTCCATTGTTTATTGTTATATTATAATCATGTTTTATACAATTGAATTGAGAGCGAGAGATTATCAAAAGCAGTTTAGGAAATTGGTGTATATTTAAATACAAAGCTATATACTTATCATTCATTAAACTCCCATTTATCTCAAAATGTCCTCATATTATACTGTCAAAACAGTTCATCTCTCTAGCATTCATTTCCAATGTGCAAAATATTTAACAGACAGCAAATCGACAAAGACAGAAATGAAGCAGGTATGAATAGCTTCACTCATCAGTGAGCGAATCATAACTGAATCAATCCATGACTTCAATGTAAATAAATCCCATCACTGACTTCTCCCACCGCATTATAAAGGAAGCACTCAATGACCATTTGAGACAGACTCTGGCTAGTTGTGAGACAGACCCACGCTACCCCCTTCCCTTTTGTCATGTAAATATGTTTTTGGCACTACCGTCAAGGAGACCTGGTTGAAGTGTGATTTTATTGTTAATGGTCCGGCCCTGTTGTCCCACACAAAGACGGGCTTTAACATTGACCCCAGAAGCCTCCCACCGAGTCCAAACTCTTCCTGCACTTCAGCTGAAAGAGCCCTTTTGTGTGCGTGGGACACGGTCCAAGAGATGGGGGAAGGGGTTTCTGGGTTAGGGTAGGCAGCAAGAAGAAGACAAAGGGAGTACAATCATAAGGAATTTGCATTAAGTGGCGTGTCCTTTAAGGTGTTGGCTCAGTATCATAAACTCAAAGCCCTTGACAATTCAGGAAACATCTCTTGATTTCAATTCTCACTGAATCTGAAGTGAAATAAAGAATGTAACACAATGACTTTAAAAAAAAAAAAAACACGGGTCAACATTTATTAAGTTACAAGGTTTAGAAAACCCTCAACGGTCTTAAGGCCATTTCTAAAGGCTGATCAAAATAAAAGAATGTACAAAGAATACATGTTTCTGTCTTGAATGTTCAAGTTTGGTCATAAATGCAAATGTCGATAAAAGATAGTCAAGATGAGCTAATCGTGAAATCTGCTCTGAACCAGTGTCGAGTGCTAACATGCACATTTTGCTGTGACTTACATTTGCATTAAGTGGCGTGTCCTTTAAGGTGTTGGCTCAGTATCATAAACTCAAAGCCCTTGACAATTCAGGAAACATCTCTTGATTTCAATTCTCACTGAATCTGAAGTGAAATAAAGAATGTAACACAATGACTTAAAAAAAACAAAACACGGGTCAACATTTATTAAGTTACAAGGTTTAGAAAACCCTCAACGGTCTTAAGGCCATTTCTAAAGGCTGATCAAAATAAAAGAATGTACAAAGAATACATGTTTCTGTCTTGAATGTTCAAGTTTGGTCATAAATGCAAATGTCGATAAAAGATAGTCAAGATGAGCTAATCGTGAAATCTGCTCTGAACCAGTGTCGAGTGCTAACATGCACATTTTGCTGTGACTTACATTGTACAATATAAAATTACAAACTCGTTCAACCAAGAATTTTTCACAAATAATCAGGCAATTCCACAAAATTACCTATACAAAAATGACACGATTTGCAATGGAGATGATGATAAGTTAGTCGTCCGAAATGGCTTGTCTGTTTTCTTTAAAGCAAAGGTCACATGTCTTTTCTGATGTGTAATACATCACATCTCTCCACACTGGGCAACGACAATGGGCAGCTTAGGCTTGTTGTTGGGTCCTGTTGGTACATTCTGTATGGGAGAAAGAAGAAAAACATCAAAAAAAGTACCCAGATCACAGGTCTACATAGAATCTAACTAGGGCTGTCAAATCGATTAATTGCATCCGAAATAAAAGTTAGTTTACACATAATATATGTAAGTGTACTGTGTAAATTTAGATGTGTGTATATATATATATATATAAAAAAAAAAATTAAAATTCAGTTAAAATGTAATAGGAAAATAAGTAAAAGTTCTCCATAAAGCCTTCTATACACAAAATACATGTCCCTTCCCCTTCAGCCCTTTGTGCAGGTACCACAAGTTAGGATTGACGTATGCATTATTCACATTGTGCACCTCAGATGAGGTGAATTACGGTATCGTGCATATGATCTCAATAAATTAGAATGTCGTGGAAAAGTTCATTTATTTCAGTAATTCAACTCAAATTGTGAAACTCGTGTATTAAATAAATTCAATGCACACAGACTGAAGTAGTTTAAGTCTTTGGTTCTTTTAATTGTGATGATTTTGGCTCACATTTAACAAAAACCCACCAAAACAAAGCTAGCAAAACAAAGTTTCAAACATTGCTTAGAACAGTAATCTATCAAAGAAAGGGATTATGAAATAATGAAAGCATAGAAGTAGTTTTTATTATTATTTTTTTTTTAGAAAGTATTAGGATGCACTGAAGTGCTCACTGAAGAGTCTGGGTTGTTTCTTCAACATTTTCTTGATGTTTTTGTAGTTGATCTTTCAAAGAAACCAATACTGAAAAGTCTGAGAATTCCATCTCATCATAAGGAATTCTCTCAGACTCTTACGTAGACGTTGACAAACATTTCTTCATATGCTTTAAGCATGACAGATCTCCAACTTGCCACCCAAGTTAACGGATCAATCGTCAATAGGATCAATAATAAATTGCTCTGAAAGAACTGACACTTGAGAACATTTGAAATGTACAAAGCTTGAAAAATAATGTCTTACCTCAATTTTTCTCATGACAAGCAAACCATCCACCACTTTTCCTGTAAGAAAGACCCCCAGCAGTTAATGACAGGAGTTCTCTCAGTACTGAATCAATACAGGATTTATCTGACCTACCAAATACCACATGCTTCCCATCCAACCAGTCACACTTTGTGCAGGTAATAAAAAACTGGCAGCCATTTGTTCCAGGTCCACTGTTTGCCTGCCGGGGAAAAAGATGATTTTACATTTTTGATTGGAAACAACAGAGAACAAACAATCTGATGGCTAGATGGAGTGCATTTATCCTTTATCAATGTATCACTTTGTCTTTGATGAGTGATGTGTTCAAAAGAAGAAAATGACTTCGCATGATGCTGCAGCTGGTCACATGGTTTTGGTGATGAAACATTTTTGCGTTTTCAGGGGATGGTTTGGTTAGTAACACAGCCGACAGAATTTTTGTGGGCACGAGTAAAAAGAAACATTGTCTTATCTGAAAATCAATCAAGTTAGTGTGGCCCACTAAATATTCCCCACTAGATGCATCTTATAAGATTAGGGCCACTTTAGCCTTGTAATGATAACAGTACTTAAAGGGATTTTGAAGAGAATTTTAAGCACTATTAATCTGATATGCTGTCATAAAGCATACTGTGAATGTACAGCAAGGGTTTTACACTGCTATTGTGTGTATAGAAGCTTTACCATTGACAAGAGTCCTGGGCCGGACTGCTTCATTCTGAAGTTCTCATCTGCAAACGGTCCCCTGTAGATACTGCAGATACCAGTGCCATCCCCCTGATGGACAAGAATACAGTGTTTACCACCACTCACACAGAGTCAGAAAATCTGAATCACTCAATAAACCGTAAGACATGTAGGCTAGCTGTGCGTGTGTGTGTGTGTGTGTGTGTGTGTGTGTACAGTAGGGTCCTCTGACCACTAGAGGCAGACAAACACACACGAGACAGACACACAATCTGTTTTTTTGTTTGTTTTTTAAAATAATTTACACCACAGGTTTAATGTATCATTTAATTAAAAACTGGGTCGCCGAATCTACACTTTATGTACTTTCAAACCAATCATAACTTTTTACCATATTTGTAAGCGTTCCATGTGTGGTCCAACAATATACAGGTTTTTCAATGTTTTTATTTATTTATTTTTTCTTCTAATACAGATATTTACTGTATATAGCAGGACAATGGCCGATATAAATAAAAGTCCCTACATACAAAGAAAGTAATACTATAATTTACTGATGACAAATCATTAATTCTCAAAATTCTAGAATAAAATTACAAATATTTCCACAGTATACTTACAATTCACTATAAGTATTTGAAATAGAAAATTTGCATTATGATGCTGTCAGAAGATTAGGAAAAGACACAAGGGGAGGAAGGACCGATGGCAGAAATTAAGTAAAATGAAATGGGCAAAAGTGATTATCTGGATTTACTAAGCATTATCATTAATGCACACATATAGAACTTTTCAAAAACTCAATGTTTGGAGTTTGCCCTGTACACTCCACTATTTTCATGACCTTAGTGAAGGCATCCTGAACAGAACACCAACACTATTATCTAGATAGAAATATTGTTCGTAAACAATTATATTTCTAAAACAATTTCATATTAAAGGGGTCATATGATGTTGCTAAAAAGAACATTATTTGGTGTATTTGGTGTAATGAAATGTGTTTAAACGGTTTAAGGGATCCTCAGAGCTTAATATGAGTCGCAGCATTTGTGGCATAATGTTGATTGCCACAAAAAATAACTTGGACTCATCACCTGGAGGATTAAAAAGCTGAAATGTGAAGCTTATAATTTTATATAAATTTTACACTAAGTATTCTGTACTAAAACTATTATAACTTCTAAAGCTGTTATAGTTTTAGTCTTCTTATAGTGATTATTTTAATCCATTCACTGTAAGTGCTTTACTGTAGATTTCACTTCACTCTTGTTTTTTGCTTTTTTTTTAATAAAAAAAAAAGGAAAAGTGGAAATTAATTTGATTAATTGATAATGTGATAGTTAACATTAACATTTCCTCCTTTCTCTCCACCTTCTCGAGATTGGACCCAAAGTTAATTAATCTTTGCTGACGATTGGCAGATGTGGACAGTAACGAAGTACATTTACTTGAGTACTGTACTTAAAGTACACTTTTTGAGTATCTGTACTTTACTTGAGTATACTTTTTTCTGGAAACTTGCAACTTCAACTTCAATTGGTGAGCCAAGGCACCAGGAGTACTCTGCCCGTTTGGACTTGCTGTTGTGTATCTTGTGTGTTAGTGTGTGAAGCGCTACTGTGCTCCAGATCACATCTACTCCAGTGAGTCCTCACTGCACAGTTCAAACACACCTGATTCAACTTCATTAGCAGAGACACCAAGACCACAGACAGGTTTGTCAAGTAAGGCAGGCATCCAAAATGTGCAGTTTTTCAGGAACAGGAATGAAAACCACTTTGTCTACTACACAGCCGTCTGTGCTGAGTGAGTGTATAATAAAACATTTGTAAATATCAGTCTTCTTGGGAAACTACAGTGGATGTATATAAGGCCTCTGTCTTGTTTTTCGGTTAGATATACAGATTAGCTATTTGTATTTTTCTTTAGCTTTCTGTTCTAGGTACACTGTAAAAAATATTTTTTAGAAGTTATAAAAATATTATTAAGTACATCATACACTTTTTCACCCAGTATTTAAGATATAAAGTAAAAAAGGGCAAATTAATACTGCAATTTAATCAAACTAATAGAAAAACGGATGACTGCAAATATAAGGGCACATCCTTATTGGCTCATTTATAAAAGCACATCCTTGTTTGAAAAGATGGATATCATGCATGACAGCCAACACACAAACAGACCCCAAAAACAAAGTTCTGAAACATGTCAAAGGCCAAACACCTGGATGATTTATTCAACTTCATTGTCTGGATCACAAAGCAAAACTTACATTGACGAAATCACCACCCTGAATCATGAAGTCCTTTATCACCCTGCCAAAAGAAAAGATGTACATTATCATTTTTTTTCAACAGATATTTTGTGATCACATACACTTTTATGGGCGACATGCAGCAAGAACTGTGATTTTCTTTTAATTATATCATTAGATTTTGATATACATATATATAGTGGGTGCTATAAATATACATAAAGCCTTTGACCCAAATTCAATGCAGTGAAAGCCATTATTTGTACAGTCAACATCATAGTGCTGTTCTGAATTGCAAAGCATCATTCAGGGTGGATTTGCATTGAAATTTTGATAAATGAAAAACTTACAACACCTGTCTGAAGGACAGAAACAAAAAAAGCCCAAAGTTTCATAACTTTGAATTATATATTTGAACAAACCTTTGTCTAATTAAGAGCAACAGTAATAGCTTGATTAAGCCATACAGCACTAAATATTGTTATACAATCAATATAACAGTGTATAATACTGACTAAAGTGTCTCACCGATGAAATGTGCAGCCTTTATAGCCTACAGGAACACCGTCCTTCCTACAGTGAATAAAAGCACCACATGAACAAGGTATATGCAAATTCAAGCAGGACCAGGAAGAAAGAGCTGTGCACATAGCATGCTTTCATGAAATACAAGCTGTGTTTAATCTGTAACCCTATCCAGCACGTTTCTTATAGAATCATTTCTACATCCTCAAAAGCATTAGTCACAATAACTCAGTAAATGTGGTACTATAGGTTCAACTATGCATGTGGCTGAAGTAGCACAGCCATCTATTAAACAGTTCATCTGAAAATGAAAATTTGCTGTTAATTTACTCACCCTCAGGCCATCCAAGATGTAGATGACTTTTTTCTTCAGTAGAACCGTAAAGATTACTTTTAGCTGAAGCCACGATGATTCAAAAATTGTAGGTCAGGGACTTCAGTCACATTGGGGAAGTCGTGGCCTAGTAGTTAGTCGGACTCGTAACCCAAAGGTTGTGGGTTCGAGTCTCATACCGGCAGGAATTGTAGGTGGGGGGAGTGAATGTACAGCGCTCTCTCCCACCTTCAATACCACGACTGAGGTGCTCTTGAGCAAGGCACCGAACCCCCAACTGCTCCCCGGGCGCCGCAGCAAAAATGGCTGCCCACTGCTCCGGGTGTGTGTTCACGGTGTGTGTGTGTTCACTGCTGTGTGTGTGCGCACTTAGGATGGGTTAAATGCAGAGCATGAATTCCGAGTATGGGTCACCATACTTGGCCACACGTCACTTCACTTCACTTCACTTCACTTGAGTCAAAAAAAGCATATACAGGCAAGAGAAAATGAATACCTGTGGCTCCTGACGATATATTGAGATCTTATGAAGCAAAACGATCAGTCTGTGTAAGAAACTGAACATTATCACCTGTAATCCAGAGCAGCAGAGGCAAACGAATCATTCTTTTGAATCAGTTCTTTTTAGTGAACTAGATGAACCAACTCTACAAGTTATTCAATCAAAACTGACTTTCAGACTAGGGATGCACCGAAATGAAAATTCTTGGCCGAAGCCGAACAAAATGAAACACTGGGCCGAAGGCCGAATACCGAACACGGTTTTTCGCATTTTTTTCTCCATTTTGCCAATTTTTTTCACCATTGCATAAATGAAATAGCCAAAATGTGCTTTAAAAATATTTACTTAACACTTAACATTTTTTTACATTCTAGCAGACATACCAATAAAACACAATTTAGCTTAAAATTAACAAGTTAGTAAAATAATATTTTTTGGCCATTTTTGAGGCCCCCTTCTTGAATCATGCATGTATTTTTTACTGTACAAATAAATGCAGCCTTGCTGAGCAGAAGAGACTTCTTTTAAAACATTAGAAAATATTACAGATCCCAGAACACTATGTGTGAATGCTTTAGTTAATAGAGCTGTTGTAATTATTATTATCCTTTATATTGTCTTTATTTTATTTTACAGATCAACAGTAAAATTACAATAATAAGATTTATTAATGTTGATGGAGTTCTTGCTTTTCTCAGCTTTTATTTTGGCAGAAACCCGCAGGAAGATCTCAGTGCTTCTTTTTGTTGACAGCAGATTTATAAATGATTCTCACTGCGAATTTGGGAAGACATTTGTTGCACGTATCGCATTGTCACATGCCTTGTAAAAATTCATAAAAATGTTACTGAGCAACTGACGAATAACGCTATTTCAGCGCAGATTTTTCTCGCGCTTTGGACTTTGCGCAGCGAGCTCATGCAGCGCTGTTTGAATACATGCAATTCGTTTGGGTATTAGAAAACACAATGTTCTGCAGTTTATTCAATTGTTTAAGGCCATTTCGCGATTTCAATCATCATACAGTAACCAGCAACAACCACCCTTCCTCTTCTCATCGGAGACATGAGATGCAGCACTAAACAGTCTTTCGCTGTCGGTGCTTGTAATGCTTTTTGCGTCTTTCTTGGACAGTTTTAAATGCTTCCACACTGCTGACATGTTTGTTGCATTAGTGCGCGCCTCTATTTGATCGCGTCACGTCATTGTTCGGTACAATTTATTCGGTCTTTTTGCTTATTCGGTTCGGTTGCCGAACATTTGGTGCATCCCTATTTCAGACTATTGTGTGATTACGTAAACAAACTGGTGAATCAGTTATTTGAACCAGTTCATTCTGACTTCACAGGTAATAATGGTGTAAATAATGTTCAGCTTCTTGCACAGACCGATCGTTTCGATTCATAAGACCTCAATGTATCATCAGGAGCCACGGGTAATAATTTTGTGTTGCCTGTACAGGTTTTTTTTTTTTACACTCGTTTTATGAATCACCAAGGACCATGGTTTCAGTTAAAAATCCTCTTTACTGTTTTAATGAAGAAAAATAATAATCACCTGTATCTTGGATGGGCTGAGGGTGAGTAAATTAACAACAACTGTTCATTTTTGGGTCAACTATCGCTTCAACTCACTGAAATCTGACTGACTTACTTGAATTCACCAGTACAGAACTGCCTGAAAGACACAGAAAAAACAGATTTACATGTGTGTTATGATGCCTGCAGCTATTCCACCTGAGCGTATTCTGGGTTTATGCATGAAAGGACTGTGGAATCATCTTACCGAAAATTTTCTGCAGTCTTCGGAACAATGTCAGCAAAAAGCTCGATCTTCATTCTGCCCACTTCCTGAAAACAAAAAAACATTAAACAAAAGCTGATTACAAACAAAGAGACAAAATATTCACATTTACACTGATCGCGAGTCACATTCAAATGAAAGTTGTTGCATTCTGTGCTGCTGCAGTGGATGCGCTTTCTAATCATCTGTAAAACTATATCTGCGATGTGAGGCCTTAACCATGGACGGATGATTTGTTGTGTGCTTGTGGAATGTTGCTGTTGTCCTACATGAGCACACATGAGAAATGAAGCGTGCGAGTTGGAGCCGTCACAGCCCCACGTGGGTTAGGCTGGCCATCGTGTCGTAAAAGAGCTGCTTGTTTGGACTCAACTAATGGATGAATCCAGTGCTGCATTAGTGCAGCGATTCTCTCTTCTGAGGACCTTTGTGAGAGTCATGGAGATGCTGTTTCCAACACCCTGAGAATTCCTTTGATGTTATGGTGTTTTCTCCTATGCAGTTTTATCACAAGAATATGGGTTTCATCGCAAAGGTTTTCAGGTATGACTATCAAAAACTAGGATAGTTTTTCATACTAAACTAAAAAAGGTCAATTGGTAACAGATTAATGGATTAGTCTTGGTAATTTGGAAAGGATCAAAGAAATGCTTGTGCTTGGAATGTTAACAAATGTTTATAGTTAAAGAAAAGTAAATCCATCTGTGAAGAACGGCCACTTTATATAAAGAGAATTCGGAACACTATGAAGCTGAGAATCAAGAGAAATTTGTAAAACTTTTGCTTTGAAGGAAATGTGAGTGGTTCTTGCCCTCGCAAAATTAACAACCACCGTGATGCTTTTGTTGTGAGTGGTTGCCAGGGCGCTGCCATGCGGTTGGTAGGGAGTTCTGGACCGTTGCTAGGGCATGGATAGGTAGCTGCTTTTGTCCCAGGTCAAAAGAGCAACTCCTCTGCTCACGTTTCTATATTTGGGTCTCTAAAAATGATTTGGATCCCTCCTTCAAAGAAAATCTATAGGATTGGTTTTTGTTTTGTTTTTTTTGCTTCACACATTTCAACATCTGCAAGGCAAAATTGTACTTTTTAATACAGATTATTGCTGGTATGGTGCATGATTCACAAGTGCATGTTACTGCAATGAAAAATATCTTCTTTCAGCTAAATTTATACCACTGGAGTTCAGAATGCTTGAAAGCTGACAGATGCTCTAAAGCTATACGTTTATTACTTTTCCTGAGCACCACACCACGACTAGATCAAATGCTAGAACTGTTTATATTTGACTCGCTCGGGGGCAATTTGGAGGGGAAAATAAAAATCTCTAAAAGCAACAGGAAATAGTGGCGAGTGGTAGTTTGAAGAAACGTCAGATCATGTAGTCAAAACTTAAATCTGCTTTTTAATGGCAAACCAGCCTTGGAAAGATTTAAATATTGTTTTGAAAGGATGAGGAAACTTCGAGGATGTATACAAATGTATATTTGATTTTTTTTTTCACTTTTATTTGAAAGAAATTAAAGATAGTAAATATTAACATATAACAGATAAAGACAAAACATTATGTAAAGTTATTAAAACATAAATGTCTACTTATAGTACAGTTAATAATCTGCACTGTGCAAAAGTCTCAGGCCATTAGTATTTTCACCAAAAACCAAATGGTTTTAATCCATGTTATTGCAGGAATGTTTCTTGGAGATGTTGCCACAGTTCTTCAGGATTTAGTCTGTCTCAGTTTGTTCATGTAATCTCAGACGGACTGGATGATGCTGAGATCAGATCTCTGTGTGCAGCACTGGCTGTTGTTGTCAGACTCCTTGTGCAAACAAAAAAATCTCACTGGATTATTACGAATAATTAATGGAAAAAGGAATGTTTGGAAATGGGGCCAAGTATGGTGACCCATACTCGGAATTTTACTAAAATACTCGGTTTTGTATTGTCTAGATGGGAACCAGCATTCCAGTATGTTTGGAGGAAGCTGAATCTGCACAGCCTTTCCTGTGAAACAACTATGCGCTGAACTTTACTGTTTGCAACTGGACACAACTGATCCACATATCCTGCAATTTTTCATCTGCCGAATGTTGCGTTGACTGAAACACTGCTGTACTGTGTTGCAAAGTCCAAGGTATTGACTCAACTTTATTTACACACAGGACTTACATTCACTGACTTGTACAGGACTTGAAGTATTACAGACCATTTGATAAGCAGCTTTCATATTTCTGATGACATAAATGCCAATATTGTGCCTTCATCTTTCATTTTAAAAGTGAAACTTCCATGATGTAAAGTGGCTTGTTTGTTAATAAACAGTTCCATTTTGCCATATACATACATATAGTATATATGTATATGGCATATACAGTGGGTACGGAAAGTATTCAGACCCCCTTA